TAAAAAGAAGTCAATAAATATATGGAAGTGTTCAAATATTAGGAAAAGTGTTAATAATGAGCAGTTATTTATTGTGGCATTGTCACAATGCCAGACTGCGATTTTTAATCATATTTTTAATTTATTTAATTTAAAATATATGCTATCCACCTGAAATTAGTGGCTTGCCCCTGTATATCATACTTTTCCTTTAACAATAGAGTCATGCCAGTCATCTAACTAACAGTACCTAACACCTTTCAGGGAAAAATTTTTGAATTGAAATAACATGATTTCTAGTTTGCATCAGAACTTCATATATAGTTAATTGGGGTCTCCTGCTCCCAAGGTTTCCATATCTGGTCTTGTTTTTCATCTATCTAACTTTGTTCTCGAGATTAAGGAAAGACGGATGGACAACAGTGGAATTTATAGGTCTACAATTTTTTCAAATTACAGTCCAATTAAACCACCTTTTACATCAAGTTTATTAATATTTTCCATTGAGTGTTGAGTCATATATCAGTGACATAAACTGATAATTGCTGATTTGATGATGATAATTTTAAAAAATACAATCAGATTTTGTTAAGAATTATTGAATAAATGTATAACTCTCTTTCTCTCTCTCTCTCTCTCTCACTAAATTCTGGAGATAAATTTAATTTGTTGAATGTAAATGAAGATTTATTTTATTTGAACATCATATGTCAGAGGAATCTCAGAATACTGTTTTAACACTATAGCAACTCTGTTCTGTTCTGTTTAAAGTGCTTTGAAAAATACAATGAGCCAAAATATCAATAACTCTATACCTATACTTTTCCAGCAGTGTTATAATCAAAAACAAATGTTTTGATCCCATTCAGAGGTCTGCCTCAGGTTAGAAAACATACATATTACAAAAATAACAGCTTATTTTAAATTTACATCATTTGAAAATGAACAATTTACATATTTTAAAATGTGACGTATTAAAATGAAATTATAAAATAACATAAATTAAAAAATAAAATAAATTATGAATGTTATTAATTAATCAACATTAAATTTAGCCCAAGTTGTTCTATTTCCTCATTGGGTTATCAACTAGAGACTGCCAAGCTTTGGATAATGCAATTACTTTTTCTAAAGGCTTGGAAGATTTCAAATGCTTCCATTGACCTTAATTTGTTGATGTCATTTACCTTTTTTTAATAATTTAGTTTGGTCCCACCATGCTGACACCCTCAGCTTGCTTGCAAATTGGGCAAGTGCTGTGGAAAGACTATTTATACAACCATCATATTTATGTTCCTTGAGTTTTTGGGTTAACATTCTTTCTGTGCATTGTAACTTTTTACCAAATCTATCATCCCACACCAGTATCATATATACTCCAGGAGCTACATTTCGATTTATTAAATCTTTACCATTAGCTAGTAGCTTAAATATAGATGAATTAAGCCTATAAGGTATTCAAGTATTCATATTTTGCTAGTGCTTTATATGTAGAAGTAAGCCTTGGGTCATAGTCCACTGTTATAAATTTCTGAGGTAAAGTTTCTGAACTCTGCCTATTATTACTAAGCTGCAATTTATTAATGTTGTTCTGTATGTTTTTAGCTAATCTAACAATCAGATTTTTGCTGTATTCATGAGCTTGCACTAAATTTTTAATCTGCTCTCTCTCTTTCATTGTGTCCAAATAAATGAGTTTAGGAATTCCTGTTTGGCTGACCATGTAAACAGAGATAAATGTTATCTTTGGGCACTCCTATTTTGGCTGCTTGAGTGAGTGGCCACCAAGATCGAATTTGATTTATAGTAAAACTTGTGCAGTTTTACAGGAGAATTTTGGGGGTGGCAACAAAATGTTTTACTACATACGTATTTTATGCTTATTATGTCATTTATATATATTAAATAATAATTTTAATTCTTTTTAATATACAGTAGAAGCTTCATATCTGCAAGTTTATATATTTGTGATTTAGCATTTGCATTTAGTTTTTGTGTTCATGAAACAAAAATTGCTTATTTGTGGAAGTGCAACAAAAATAATGAAGTAGATATTAGACATTATGCTTAATAATTCTGTTTTTTATCTTAAACTTATTCTACTGGAAATTATGCTGTTGACTATTAGACTGGGCAGATACAATTTCAAAGTTTCTCATGTTACACTTTTATAGATAGTAACTATCATATTTTATATTAATATATATTGTGAATATCAATGCTATATTTCACTTATGGAATTTAGCTTTTTTTCTGTTCTCCTTGCAAATAAACAAAAGTGTGAAATATTAAAAAAAGCAAAGAAAATGTCCCTCAAGCACAAAATTTAAATGTTACAGATATTCAGGGAAGAAATTCAGCAGCTATAGTTTCTCATGCTTTCATCATAAATGAATTTGTTAACATAACATCAAATTTATAAAATGGCATGTAGAACATTTAATATTGGTAAACACAAATCAGTTTTCTGTGTGTGAGATGAGCAGATAAATAAACCTACATTTAAGGTAAAACATATATTTTTCTTTTGAATGTTTTTGGTATTACAAAATGTCTTCAAGACTGCTTTATAAATTAAACATATGCAAGAATGGAGATTTAAATATACATTTGAAGTTGAATTTACATTTGTAGTTTACAGTTTGAAAGTTATAAATAAAGACAAATAAAGAATAGAACAAAAATTAAAAATAAAGAATATAAAAATAATTAAGCACAATAATTTCTATGATAAAGGCTAGGAATAAAATGCCAAAAACAAGTAACATATTTTGGAATGAGCATATGGTAAAAGCTAGATAATTAAACATAATTCAGAACATTGGTTTTATTACAAAGAATACTCATATTGATTGCAATAATTTTGGATGGATAACCCATAGGTTTGAAACATAATTTGAAAGGAAGTGCAGATTATATTAATATGATGGGGTTGGTTATATGCTGATTTTAAATTCCAGTCATAAGTTAAAGCTGATTCACACTATACATTTTTTTATGGGTTAACTGTTTCAAGTTGTAGTTTGTTACCTCAGAATTGGTGTTGACTGTGTATTTTAACTCTGGACTCTATTCTACATTTTAATTTTTAAAAAATTTTTAGAAATATAGTAACTTTTATTCATTTTAAATAAAAAACTGATCCTATTGAATAATTTACTAATAAATTTTATGGAGCTTCTATTGTATTGCAAAGATTTTTTCTCTGCTTATATAATGTAATTTTAGTTTTATGGTAGTTTCTGATTTATAATACAGTAGAGCATCGTTTATCCGAATCAATTGGGGACTGGGGTTGTTTGGATAACGTATTTTTTGGATAACCGATTATGTACGAAAAAATAGATTAACCTATCCCATCCTGAAATTTTTCTTCGTTGCGTGTCACTTTCTGTTGAATTTTCGTCGATGTTAAGCCTAACGTAAACTTTTTAAAATAATAATCGTGGCTATTGTATCGTTAAAAATTATTTCTTTATTTTTTACAAACAAAATAAATATATTGANAAAAAAAACTATATTACATACAAATAAAAACCCAGCGAAGCGGGTCCTTGCAGCTAGTATTATAATAAAAATTTTAACATAACGTAAACTTTTATAAACTGTAGGAAAGTTTAAAATATTCTAAAACTGTTTGAGAAGCGAAACAATTCTTCACGAACAACTTAAGAATTGACCACGTATTTTGCTTTTTAATAGCTTTATAGAGTTTCCATTTTGTTTAATAGTAGCATGTTAATGAAAAATGTCTTGTAATATGTGTTATGCACAAAATGTATATAAGTAAAATGTTTATATTATTTTCTTCGATTAATTATTTACGAACTTCCGGTTTGTAGCGGAAGTCACCTTATTTCAATTCAAAAATTTTCTCCCGAACGGAGTTAGATAGATGAACGGCATGACTTCATGTTAACAAGAAAAGTATGATGTACAGGGGCAAGACACTATTAAAATTGAAAGCATTGTGACGATGTCACAATAAATAATAGCTCGTTCATATATATAAACAAATATAACTACTCAAAAAAAAATTGTATTTTCTACTCTTTCTGCTCTGGCAAAAACAATTCTTCCAGAATACTTACTTTTATTGCTATATAATTCATAAATCATATAAAAATTTTAAATTAAATTGAAACAAAAGAAGCTAAATGTAGAAGGTATTGTTGAGAAGAAGCTAGTTTTTCTAAAATTTTTACACAAAATATTTCATCCACGTGTCCAGCTGGGAAACTTGTCTCTATTTAGGTGTTACAAAGGTGAAAAAATAGGGAAATCTCCACGTAACCAGCACGCTGGCGAGGTACGAACCCACGACCAACTACAGTAATAGTAGTAGGTGGTTTTAATAGGTGCTGTATTTTTTATTAACACGTACAAGACGATTGTATTGTGGACGGTCTAATAAATCATATTTGCCGCCGTAAACGCTTTAAAAATAACTGCTTGAAATTTTTTGTTAAGCTTTTTCCCCTTTTGTGTAGTCTGCGGGCTCAGACTTTACAGGAGCAGCAAAAGCTGTGAAAAAAGGGTATTGTACATTATGCAAGAAGCTTCAAATTATGATTCAACGTCGGATCAGCGCTCCCACAAGGTGGCACTGGTTGCAATTGAGGTTAACTTGGCCTCGAAACAAGGAAGAGTCCTTATTTTGACTGCCAAGTTTTGATCAACATACGAGGAAATTGCATGGGACAATGGACAAATATCGTTTATTAGTTTCTTTTATATTTGCAAAATAGGCTAGAAGTCATAAATTTTATGTTCTTTGTTGATAATGGAATTTGAGTCCCTCTCGAGGATTAAGAAAAGAGAAATATAGACGAAAAGGGGAGGCACGTGTCTCAAGTACCCAACGTACTGGGACACGTAGACCCGGGCGCCCGTGGTGTCAATGCGGAAGCTTAAGCCTCTGGTCCCCCTTGAATCTCTCTGGATGGTAGAAGCGTGTTGTATCATGGCATAGAAAATAAAACTTTTTTACATCACATCTTTATTTTTTCCGGTTATAAATTTTCACCAGTGGTCAAAATTTTTGGAACATTTTATTAGCCGCCGTTTGAGCTTTTGATATTTTCAAAACATTGAATCTCACAGTTTTACTTAGAGGTCGGCATTCTCCTACGGTTACAATATCTCCCAGAGCAATATCTCTAAAAATTATTAAAATATATAGAATTAAAATTTATTCGAATTTTATATTTAAATGTACATAAATAAGTGAAATTTATAATATATGTACTGTATTATAAATTTCTATAAACTATTAAAAAAATTATATATATTTCATTTTTATTTTTAATAGTTTAGAATAGTGTTTCCTAAAGTGGAGCACCCTTAGACTTTACCGATCCTAGTAGAAAACTAAGAAGGACGTCGGAAGATTATGGGACGATAGAGGGGCCCTTGAAGGTAAGGGGGCAGTAGGACATTGAAAGACAAAGGGGAGCTACAAAAATATATGCACTTAAAGCACCAAAGTCTGAAGAGTTTGGGAAACATTGGTATAGAGTAATTCGAATTTACCTGAAACAAGGAGAGAGATGAACAGACATATTTTTATGACGTTTTTCAAATCTGTTATATTTTTTAATGTAATGTAAATAATCTCTTCGGATAACAATTGTTCTCTCCATTTTCATTTTGATAACGACTCCTCGAAGTATTCTTCCTCGTATTGCAACGTTACCAGTAAAAGGGCACTTCTTATCGATATAAGTTCCATCAATAGCCTAAAATATACGAGAAAAATATAATATAAATTTAAAGAATATTTAAAATATGATGTGATTTCACTTACATCTTTAGGGGTTTTAAATCCTAGTCCAACATTTCGAACATATCTTTGTATTTTCTTTGATTTTTTCCCTTTCACTAGAACTTGTTTCTTATTCAAAAAGATAGTGGGTTGCTTTTGAAATGATCTCTCACCCTTAAAAAATATAAAAGCAATATTAAATGTATGTAATTATTTTAAATTACAATGATTAATACAGTAAAACCTGTGTAAACCGGGACCGTTTCCGTTCCCAAGAATTTTTCCAGTTTAGGCAGGTTTTCGTTTAGGACAGGTTTCGCTGTACACAACTTAAACGTGATACTATTAGTATAACGTTACGAATCAAGATATTTTTTGTTATACTTATATAACAGTATAAAGTCTTTAATAATTTGTGGTTTTGTGGTTTAATATAGAAATATTAAGTTATCTAAATTAATAAAATCGATAGCTTTATTATATGAATTTAGTTGATCTGCCATTTTGTACGCTTATTTAATCATTAGAGCGAACTTTCAGGCGATCTTATACTATAAATCACTGCAATAATCAGAAATTTAAATGAATATAATAAAAGTATAAAATATATAAATTTGTTTGTTTGTTAAATTATGGCGACGCAACACTTGGGCAATCTGCCTTGGGGGATGCCTTCCGGGAGGTCTTTCTAAGGGAAATAAACAAATAAAATATATAAATATTCTTCTTATTATTTTATTATTACATATACAGTATAGTAAAACCTCTCTAAACCGGAACCTGAATGAAAAGGAAACCTGTTTATAACGGAAACCTGCAAGCCGAAAAAATATTTGATACGGTTTACACAGGTTTTACTGTACTGTACATACTTATACATTACTAAACCTCTGTTGAGTTTAACAGAATTTCATTAAAAAATACAAATACGATTTTTTTAAGCCGGAAATTATTTCATTTATATGATTTTCAAATTATTAGTAACAATTTCGAATATTATTTTACGGTTAGAAAAAATAATTTAAAAAAATAGATGCAGAAACTTCGCAGTAATGTCGAGATAGAAAGTTAAAAATACATTGTACAGTACAGTTTTTGCAATTTCTATATTTAGCAGAAGGATCATTCCACTTAAATAGAACTGAAACAACGAAAGCCCTTTCTGAATTAACTAATTTAAATAAGTGTAAAATGAAAAAGAAGTTTATTGCGCGTAAATACATTATTTCATAAAAAATATCTCAAGTTTACGCTATTCAAAATTACATTAAATCCCGATTTAAAAAAGTTTAATTATTATTTTAGTAAAATTATAATTGTAATATATAAGTAAAATTAATCACACTGTAAAAAATTCACTTTTATTTTTATATATTACGGTATATAAATGTTTCGCTTACTGTTTAACTCGATAAAAATAACTACTGTAAAAGCACGTGAACTTACTTGGTCTGCCATTTTGTATAAGCATGTGTATTATGGATACCGTTAGAGGGAACCACCCTATGAAAGTTTACACTATAAACAATTGAGAATTTAAACGATCGTTTTTAGAATAATTTTTAAGGACGGATACTGAGATTCATACAGAAATCTTTTATCATTTCTAAATATCTTTTAGGTTTTATAGAATATCATAAAAAGTGTTGAAAGAAGAATTCTTTTACAGTAAAACCTGTGTAATCCGGAATCGCACAGAACTAAATATTTTTTCCGGTTTGGCAAGTTTCAGTTTTAAACAGGTTTTTTTTTTTAACATAAGAAAATTCGCTCTGTTTAAAGAATTTTTTTCTATTTAGGCAGGTTTCCGTTTTATTCAGGTTTTACTGTAATTAAAAATTGAAACGGACTTGAATTTAATACAGCTTCGAAAATTTTTAAAGGTAAACTAAAACCTCTCCAAACCGGAACTCTAATAAAGTGGAAACCTGTTTAAACGGAAAAATTGTTCGGAACGAGACGATTTTCTGTGTTTAAGTCTTTCCGCCCTGTTGGCACTAAGAGGGTCTCTTTTAGCAAGTCCATTATGGGTTCGGTCAGGCCCACAGTTCGGAGTCCGACATATCCGGACAAACCACCACCTCCCCTTAAAATTCTTAGAAATTTATCCACTTGTTCGGATTCAAACCAGGATCCCCCACAGCGGTAGGCTGCTACCTTGACCGCTCGGCCATCCGGCCGTCTCGTAGAAATCGGTTATATAATAAATGTCAAAGTAGAAGAATTCCAAAGAAACCCCAGCAATAAATTTTTATGAAGGTTTACTGTATGCGAAATTTACATGGAATATAATTTTATGATGTTCAATTAATGTTATTTACATTTAAAGTTTGCTATTAATTACTATAGAGATTATATTAACGTAAAATATTACATTAATATAAGTACAATATTTGCATATTTCATAAATACTGTATGTTTCTTCGGCAGATACAACGACATATAACTACTAGACCCGAATTTGCATCCGCCATGCAAGTTCAATTCGCTGTGCACATGCAAAAAATACCTAATAAAGATACGACTGTTCATCACATAAGTACACAATTTTCATGCCTAATATGCAGAACTGATAAATAATAAATGAAATAGACAAAATGCCCTGAAAAAATATTAAAGTAATATTTAATAGTAAATACCAGTAGTTAAATTATTATTCATATCGACTGTCCATAAATGAATCCACACTGGAAGGGAGGAGAGGGCTTAAGACAAGTCCGTCAAAAAATCGAACAAAGAGAGGGGAGGATTGAGCTTCAGTGGATATCAGTAAAAATTTCGAGAAAAATGCGAACGTAATTTATGGACGGCCCCATACTAATATTTTCGAATGCCCATCAATAAACGTAATTTCAATAAACGTAATTTATTGACCTTTAAAACGAACAAGTTGGATGTACATTTGTCTTACCGAAACACTACGATGAGCCTGATTATTAGACGTGGTGGGTCAGAAATTTGAGCTTCACCTTGCTGCTGTATACTCCGCTAATCATAGGCATCATCGTCTATGTTAAACAAAGATGTTCGCTTCAGTGGTCTTCGTGGCACTACTGGTTGTGTCTGTAGATGCTGAGAAAAATCAAACTATGTAGGAACCGATGTTTCGTGGAAATAGATGTATCCGTTCTGTTAGGTCAGAAACAGTCAGGTTTAAAGTGTCGACTACAAAGAGCACTTCTATTACTCGATTTCCATTTTGTCACGACATATCGCTCTGTCAACTACCGACCGAAGTTTTCAGGAAACACTATCAGTCGCATAATCGTTTAACGTACAAAAAAGTATTCCAAATCATCGGTCGGCGATCAAAACCTCGTAACTCCAGTATTTGCTCATATTTGAATTACAGAATTAGTGGATAATGAAACACGTTCCCCGTGATCTATAAAATTCTCGTAGGTCCCGAGTCAAACCTAGTTCAATACATAAAAAAAAAAAAAAAAATAATAATAATAATAAACATAGGCAGGACCGGATTAACCCACTTTGGGGCCCTAGACATTTTCATCTTGCCGGGCCTCCTCTCTCTCCCACAAGAAATAGAGTACACAAAAAATATAAAACAAAACTAAATAATATGAAAAACTAAAACATATCTTAAATTTTTATTAATAAAAAATATTTAATATGCAACAATAAATTTTAGTTTTTCAAAATAGACAGTTTGACCAGGCCCTTCTAAAAACCGGGCCCTAGACATTTGTCTCATTTGTCTATGCGATGATCCGGCCCTGAACATAGGGTAATAACAGACTTCTGAAAGAAGTTTAATATTTCTTCAGAAGGACTACGAGATTTTGATGGCCATTAGGTCTTTATCTAATTTACCGGTGAAACGTGACACCGGATCCTTTTTTTACACCTTGCCGTTTTTACTTACAATTAACTTCACGGCAACTTGGTGTCATCCCAGTTATGCTCCTGACACTTCCCGCACACTCGAAACTAAAGCCTGGACTCCACATTACCGGAATCCGCGACGTAATCGTAAAACTGAAAGCCAAACTGACGAAACTTTCAGTTTTGTAACGTTCGGTTAGACAGAAACAAGACTGAAAGCGGAGTTAAAAATTATTTAACTTTTCCGTTTTCGTCTCGCGCTTCTGTCGTACAGCGACCAATAAAAACGCAAGGATTTGTGACGCGTAGTCAGGTAATGTGGAGTCCAGCCTGGACTCCACATTACCTGAAAACAGAAACTCAGAAACAGAATTGAAACATATAGAGTTTTCGTTTCAGTTATGTTTTCGTTTTAACTTGACAGTCGGTACACAACAATCCGTCCACCGTGGACGGTCCACGGTGGACGGATATGCACATTTTGGACCGCCATAACAGTCTAAGGTGGTGCCTAGTTTCTTTGGCTTCAGATGTTTCTACGTTAACTTTTATCCGATTCGGGGTCTAGTATATGTCGTTACGCGCCACTGTAGAGTAGGTCCCGATTCGCCCGACATAATTGCATAACTGTCAATAGGATCGATGAACACGAGTAGAAAAAATTAAAAAATATTATTTTAATAAACGCAAAAAATATTTACATTCATTTTATCCGGATAATTATTATATATTATAATTTTGTTTTACTGACGAATTATTCGAGTAATAAAAATAGAAATTTTTTGTTTAAATAGATAATTAGATGCAGGGGTCGCTAAGGTAGGTAATCGAGAATGGCGGCGAGCGACACTCTTGTCGATTGGAGCGAAGGAAGCGAATTATACATAATAACGGCTCAACAACAAAATGCAATCAATAAAAATGATTTAATTACGGTAATAAAGTCAATATTAAGAAGGTAGGTAACCACCACACCACATAAATAATTTAAATTTTATATTTAGTAAATTGCGTATCTAATCGATGTTAAATAACTTGTGTTTTGCTTCGTGTGTTAAAAATATTACTTCGTGATCAGTTCTAAAATTTCAAAAAATTATTCTAATCTATATTAAATGAAGTTTGAGTTAAAATATATTAAATATTGAATTGATTAAGTTAGGTATTCATGGTATGACTCATTGCTAATCATTTAATGTGATGTATATCTGTACAAAATACTTTGTCTATATTTTATGACGATTTTTTGCGATTGTGTGTTAACTTACTGCAGATGGAAACGTTTGAGTAGAACGGATCCGTTATTGCATGGCTTCTTAATAATATAAACAAGAATTTGCAACTTGTAGAGGTTAATGAGAACTAATCCTTATTAATTTTCCATTAAATGTAGAAATCCACAAAAGAATATTTGGCAGATGAAAAGTATTTATACTAAATGATACGTTTAGAATTTTTCTTAAAATTAACGAGTTATTATTTATTTTAATGTTGTCGTGATGCAGGGCTGCAATTTTTTGACACAGTTCTCTCAATTTTAGTAGTGTCTGCCCCCCTGTGTGCCACACTTTTCCTGTTAACGATGGAGTCGTGCCGGTTGGCTATCTAACTCTGTTCGGGAAAAAATTTTTGGATTGAAATAATGTGACTTTCCATCGAAACTGGAAATTTGTATTGTTAATCGAGACTTTTGCCACTAAGCTTTCCGTCTCTGATCTTGACTTTCGTCTGTCTAACTCCGTTCTCGAGATTAAGGAAGGATGGATAGACGGATGGCCGTCTGTGGGAATTTATACGTCTAAAATTTTTGAAAATTGTAGCCTAATAAATGTCTTGGTTAAACTATTAGATGTTCTTACTTTCTGTCATTTATTTCTACTATGAATAATAGAATAACAATGATATTATATTATTAATATTATGATATTATATAATGATATTATATAAGTAAATATAATAGATAATTATCAGTCATTTTATTCTGTTAAAATTAAACAATACAGTCGAGTCCACATAAGTCGACACCCGAGGGGAAGTGGAAATGTGTCGAGTTATCCGATGTGACGACTAAAATGAAGTTGAAAAAAAACGACAAAACTACAATTAGGAAAATACAGTAGTGCTTTATACAGTACATGCAATGTATCTCTGACCATCTATCACTGGCACGAAAGTTGGTTTCTACTCGGCGATTTCCATCACTTTTTGTTTTAGTATCGGCCTCCAATTAATTTGTTCTAGACACTCAAAAATACATACCAAAAAGCACATTTTATAGAGAATAAATAGTGTTTAATACTAAAAACAATAAGATATTAATATAAAATGAATATGAAAGTGGTCAATTTCAGCAATCTTAATGCCTCTCTTGTATTTTTTCAATGATTTCCTTCTTCAACTTGATCGTGTTCCTGGCCTTCTTCCTCGAAGGGCTGCTGGCTCTGGAAACTTTCTTTGGTCCCATGATCGAGCTAAAATCAAAGGAAAGCAATGGAATTGTTTGGCTAGGTAATTCTCATACAAAGAGAAACAACACCACACTGAGCAGAAAAATGTGTGGGTCGCCCTTTGTTTTTGCAAAATTAGCAGTGAGGTCATGTGGGCACGCTGACGAAATCTGAGACAACCAACGATAACGAGACAGATTTTATGGAAAAAAAAATTTGAAAAAAACTGAAACTGACGATAACCAAAGTCAACAAAAACTGAGGTATTACTTTGTTTTTATATGTGTAAGATCAACCTTAACCAGCAGTTGCTTGCTGCTGATAGAGAAACTTGACTGCATTCACTTCTCTTGCTAGAAGGGAGGTGGATGTGTTTTGGCCATGAAAAATCCTATGAAACAACATGGCACATTTTTACCTCAGTGGAACAATGAACACACATTTAGGTTGTGAAAATTTTTTTTTCCAGCACAAATTCCACTGCACTCAGCTAAGCTTATACTCTGGTGTGGATTCACATCCATATTTATCCTTGAATCATTCATCAAAGTAACTAATCCTAATGCCTGTGACATGCTCTATGATAGCCAATAGATACCAAGAGCTGTTTCAACATTTGTGTTGTATCCCAACTGCCTTTACTAATAGCAACAATGCCTTTACTAAATCACTTTCATCCATGATGGAGCACCTTCACATAGTGGAGCTGCATGTAGCAGTTTCTGCAACATCATTAACAGTGATTAGTCATGTGTTTCCTAATGACTGGCCAACTCATTCTCTGGATCTTAATCAGTGTGATTTTGATTGTGGGACACTTAAAAAATGTGATTTATTGAGGACATATTGCAAATTTGATAGCCTTAAAAGACAATATCACACTACATATAAGAAACATCAATTATGGTTGGCTATTGAACACACTACCCTCAGGTTTTACATTTTCAGAATGAGGACCACATTGAGCAGTGTCCCCTGCATGTCAAGGCTTTCCCCAATTGGTCTGAGTTAATGAGATTCTATTTTACATATATATATATACATACACTGAAACCTCAATTATGTGACCACCTTTTGTTATACAATTTCAAGTCACCCAAGTGAAAAAAGTTGGTACATACAAGTATAATTAGAATACTATAATGAATCCTGCTAAAAGTTTCATATAGATTGTAAAAGTAAACAAACAAATAAAAATAGTTAATAAAATTAAAATAAAAAACTCACATAATACTGTACAGCTTTTGCAATATACAGTAATTCAAACATTTGTACTGGGTAATGTATTATCACTGATTAAAAGAATATTGAAGTACAGATTACATGCACACCGTTTGCAATAGGGTTCATTTAAATACTGTACAGTACATTATTAAATGGAATTGTTTATGAAATGGTGGTAAAGGTTTTATTTAAACATTGTATTTTAACTGGAGAATTCAGAAAAAAATATTAAAAAGAAGTCAATAAATATATGGAAGTGTTCAAATATTAGGAAAAGTGTTAATAATGAGCAGTTATTTATTGTGGCATTGTCACAATGCCAGACTGCGATTTTTAATCATATTTTTAATTTATTTAATTTAAAATATATGCTATCCACCTGAAATTAGTGGCTTGCCCCTGTATATCATACTTTTCCTTTAACAATAGAGTCATGCCAGTCATCTAACTAACAGTACCTAACACCTTTCAGGGAAAAATTTTTGAATTGAAATAACATGATTTCTAGTTTGCATCAGAACTTCATATATAGTTAATTGGGGTCTCCTGCTCCCAAGGTTTCCATATCTGGTCTTGTTTTTCATCTATCTAACTTTGTTCTCGAGATTAAGGAAAGACGGATGGACAACAGTGGAATTTATAGGTCTACAATTTTTTCAAATTACAGTCCAATTAAACCACCTTTTACATCAAGTTTATTAATATTTTCCATTGAGTGTTGAGTCATATATCAGTGACATAAACTGATAATTGCTGATTTGATGATGATAATTTTAAAAAATACAATCAGATTTTGTTAAGAATTATTGAATAAATGTATAACTCTCTTTCTCTCTCTCTCTCTCTCTCACTAAATTCTGGAGATAAATTTAATTTGTTGAATGTAAATGAAGATTTATTTTATTTGAACATCATATGTCAGAGGAATCTCAGAATACTGTTTTAACACTATAGCAACTCTGTTCTGTTCTGTTTAAAGTGCTTTGAAAAATACAATGAGCCAAAATATCAATAACTCTATACCTATACTTTTCCAGCAGTGTTATAATCAAAAACAAATGTTTTGATCCCATTCAGAGGTCTGCCTCAGGTTAGAAAACATACATATTACAAAAATAACAGCTTATTTTAAATTTACATCATTTGAAAATGAACAATTTACATATTTTAAAATGTGACGTATTAAAATGAAATTATAAAATAACATAAATTAAAAAATAAAATAAATTATGAATGTTATTAATTAATCAACATTAAATTTAGCCCAAGTTGTTCTATTTCCTCATTGGGTTATCAACTAGAGACTGCCAAGCTTTGGATAATGCAATTACTTTTTCTAAAGGCTTGGAAGATTTCAAATGCTTCCATTGACCTTAATTTGTTGATGTCATTTACCTTTTTTTAATAATTTAGTTTGGTCCCACCATGCTGACACCCTCAGCTTGCTTGCAAATTGGGCAAGTGCTGTGGAAAGACTATTTATACAACCATCATATTTATGTTCCTTGAGTTTTTGGGTTAACATTCTTTCTGTGCATTGTAACTTTTTACCAAATCTATCATCCCACACCAGTATCATATATACTCCAGGAGCTACATTTCGATTTATTAAATCTTTACCATTAGCTAGTAGCTTAAATATAGATGAATTAAGCCTATAAGGTATTCAAGTATTCATATTTTGCTAGTGCTTTATATGTAGAAGTAAGCCTTGGGTCATAGTCCACTGTTATAAATTTCTGAGGTAAAGTTTCTGAACTCTGCCTATTATTACTAAGCTGCAATTTATTAATGTTGTTCTGTATGTTTTTAGCTAATCTAACAATCAGATTTTTGCTGTATTCATGAGCTTGCACTAAATTTTTAATCTGCTCTCTCTCTTTCATTGTGTCCAAATAAATGAGTTTAGGAATTCCTGTTTGGCTGACCATGTAAACAGAGATAAATGTTATCTTTGGGCACTCCTATTTTGGCTGCTTGAGTGAGTGGCCACCAAGATCGAATTTGATTTATAGTAAAACTTGTGCAGTTTTACAGGAGAATTTTGGGGGTGGCAACAAAATGTTTTACTACATACGTATTTTATGCTTATTATGTCATTTATATATATTAAATAATAATTTTAATTCTTTTTAATATACAGTAGAAGCTTCATATCTGCAAGTTTATATATTTGTGATTTAGCATTTGCATTTAGTTTTTGTGTTCATGAAACAAAAATTGCTTATTTGTGGAAGTGCAACAAAAATAATGAAGTAGATATTTCATATTTTGCT